GTGTGTCGCTATGGGTAATACCAATCAATTGATCATTGAACTGAAAGCTTACATTCTTATGTTTGTGCCACAGCCACTGATTACCATCATAGCCAGTCGATCGCTCAGCTTCGAAGCATCCATCATCAGGCCCATAAATATGCTCCCGTATGTGGTAAATATTATATCTGCATAGTAGCTCTTAGATACAGCCGTCGAGTCCTGAAAGGAAAGTTGGAGTGTAAGTTGAATGGGAATACTTTTGTTAGGTGACTCTCACTTACCATAATCCCTAAGAGGGGCATAAAGGCAATAAACATAAATGCCAATGCTCCAACTGGTATGACATTGAATAAATAATACGAATACATGACCATTGCCAGATATATGAAGCGATAAGCCTTGAAAAAACAATACAATTAGTATAAAATGAATGTGCAGCTCTTTCGCAGTTTACCGGAGTTGAAGGAGAAAAGAAAATCGGAGCAAATAGAAGCGGTATGAGAATAATCAAAACGCCTTTGTAGTGAAATGTACAAAACTTTTTACGATCATCCTGCTCTGGATATGGTAAGGTACCCGGCTTGTAGTCCTGCCTGACCATATAGATATTATCAATGTTAAATGAGAATCTTGTTTTTCTACTTACTCCATTCTTAATATTCTTAATATCTATCCGACCAAAACTTATATATACATTAAATTTTTCTGGTTCCCGAGAGTAAAAGCAACGAAACTGAAAACTTCGATCGTAAATTTTTTTTTTTTTTACAAAGGTAACTTTGTAGTTGAAAAGTAACTTGAACTACTGTTAGAACAGTCACATAGATTAATTATTAATGAGCATGACCAAGGGGTAGGATATCTAAAAAAAAAAAAAAAAAAAAAAAAAAAAAAAAAAAAATATTAGAAATAAATAGATAAAATAAACAAATAAATAAATAATGCAGTTGAATTATTTCATATTTCTTACTTCACCACCCAGTTAACTACAGTTATGACAACATTTATCACGGAATAATAACTTATACGTGTGCATAAATACAGTATTTGTGTATATTAAATATTTCGCAGAATATAAAATGTATTTTTTATTAGCCGTTTCTTCAATGGTAGACTAAGAGGACCCCTAGCCTCCCCCTATGCCACAGGGTGGATGCCTATGCATATAGCAGTACTTAACAAGCATATACACACATACGCATCTATGTATATGTAAACATATTTGCATAAGCTTAAATGTGCGTTACGCACCTTTCGAAATTTTGAGCCAATTGCTGTATGAATTTTCATATATATATATGTACATATATACATATAAATGGCGCTCACGTACTCTCCATGGAATCAGGCGAACGGCGGAGAAAAAGTGAAATGAATATAAAAATCAAAGTGATTTGGCTGGCAAAATATTTACTCGCCCGGCAAAGCATAAGATTGCCAATTCGGAATGCCCCTGTCTATGTCCGCTATGCAATAGCTGATTGGCAACTCAAATTTGTGTCTATTGGCTTGTTAATTGATTTCTATACATTGCTTGAATTTCCTGCTCAAATTTTATTTACATGGAAATCGTAAAAGCTCCAACTGTAACAACATTTACGTTGATAGGAGTTAAATTATGTATTACTTATTCGCAGAAACATACAAACTGGTATTTTTGGCTTATACCAGGAACTCATTAACAATAGGTATTCAGGGTATAATGACTTCATGGAAATATAGTAAGTATATAATAGGGCTGGAGGAGGCGTGCTAGATTTTAAAAGCATATTTTTGTATATGAGTTGATCTGGGGATATTCGTCTGTCCGTTCTACATTTGTTCTACATTTAATTTTCATTTTGTAATTATCGATAATAATCGATAGTCTAATTTGGCTAGCATGTACATTTTTGGAATATTATAATAATGGTACAGATTTTGAATATTATAATAATGAAATAACTTAGTTATACAGGTCAATTAAACTCACATTTCTATAACATAGGGTAGCCTAACTATCATAATAGACTATAGGGTAATTTAATTTCAACTACATTCTTATATGTCAAATTACACTGCTAAAATGCTGTTTAATTTTCTTCGCTAGGGGGAATCGTTTCCATTTGGGCAATTATTAAGTTTGGTATTTATAGACCTATACGTAACGCCAACGATAACTTCTGCTCAACACATCAAGCTGTCAGTTGACTACAACATTTTATAGCAACGTCTTATCAATCAATCGTTCTGAGTGCCACACAGACTTATCTCACAGTTAATAAAACTTCTCTGTATTAGTTTTATCGTTCAGCGCGAGGTAAAACCACTTAGTGGTTATACATAAAAAAAAAAAAAAAAAAAAAAAAAACTTGCCAAAACTATTAAAATGCCGCTTCAGTTGCTCATGTGCTGCTCATGTTTTTTTTTTTTTTTTTTTTTTTTTGGTTTTTTTTTATCGTATTTGAAGTTGGAAGCCCAAGCATAATTATCTTGAGTTTGTGATTTCAATTTTTTTAGTGCTCGTAAATCGATAGCTGGCTGAGTGCTTATGATGTTGACACCGTCTAACTGGCTATCTGAACCATCAGAGCCGACCCTGAAGCGCTCAGCCGAGAGGCAGATAGTGTTCAATGTTTGAGCTATCTAATGCATGCTTATTGGCAAAGTTTTTTTCTTTCGTTTCTTTTTTTTCCTAATAGCTGAGGCAAGTTTTGTGGGTCAAGTCTTGAGCCAGCGACTGCACTCTGGCCAATAAAACTTTCGTCTGCACAGCCACGATGGATGCTGCAGTTACGAGTTACAAAAGCAGATGATGGGGCAATGCCAAAGAGTTGGAACACGGGGCAACTTTGTTGGGCCACGTGGCGCGTAACAATGCGCAGTCGTTGGCAATTTTGCGTAACTGTTCGCCGTTCTGCTTCGTTACGAACGGGCAGAGGAAGAGGAGTGGGGATAGGGGGGCATACAAAAGCTTCAGCTAAACCCTGGCTAACTGCATAAACTTTGCTCAGCCAAAAGCGGATGTCACTGCAGATAATGTTGCATCAAATGTTTTAGGGGACGCACCTGTGTCTGTCTGTCCCTCGTCTGTCAGCGCGGTAGCACCTGTGCCCCTGCCCAGGTTCGTCTGCTACTTTGTTTGGGCCATCGGTATTGCTTTTTGCTTTTTTTTTTTGGTCTGCTCCTTTTGCCCTCTGTCGGTTCGCTCCTCTTGCAAAGTTTGTGGGCTCAACTTATTCTTAAACCAGCTGTGTTTTTTTTTTTCCTTTTTCTTCTTTTGGGGGGTTTTGCAGCTTTGCTACATTTCGGGTGAACTATTTTGGGCATGCGGCTGCTATTGATTTAATTTCGAATGCTTGTTTAACGCTCGAATTATTTTGCTGACTGCCAGGCATTGAGAAGCTCAGCTCAGCTCGGCTCAGTGCAGCCAAGCAATTCGATATCATTTCTGTTTGCAATAATTGGGAAAATATTCAGTGGGAAACTTGACAAATGCCTTTGTCAATTTTCGTTGTCTATTGCGTTGTGCAACACTGATTCAATAAGAATCAGATAGACGACGCTGCGCTGCGCTGCCTGTGTTTTCATTGGTAGTTATTATTATGATTGAGATTAATGACGAATCACAACCAAGGTGTTTACAATTCTTATTGAGTGCGATAAAGAGTATCAATCATTATGATTGATATCGTTGATTGATCTTGATTGTTTTCAGTCGTTGTTCTTGAATATGATATCAATTAATGTGATTCCATTCATTGCTCATTGATCTGGATTGTGAAATATTTCAGTATTGCTCCCATTCTGCTTGAGTATGATAGAGAATATCAATCATTATGATTGATACCATTAATTAATCTTGACTGTTATCAATCATATTCTGCTTGAATATGATAGAGTAACAATCATTATGATTGATATCTTTGTTTGATCTTAATTGTCATCAGTCGAAGTGCTTGAATATGATACATTTAATTTAATTTTAATTATTATTTGAATATACTACTTTGAATATACTACTTCGCTATGATAAATATATGTAGGTGATTGAAGGACAATATTGTAGTGTACCTAAGCTAGGTTTCATGTTCCTTGCTGTCGTTCGTATTCCAATCGTATTCCACTTCCAATTGTTAGCTTATATCAATTGTTATGACTGATTGATTGATCGACAGGCGACTTCTCTATTTGGATTTCGTCCCGATTGTTGTTGCTCATCTACCAATCGGCAATTAATTAAAGTGCGCAATTTCTGTCTCGGCCAGGTGCTGGCATTGGCATCAACTTAAGCACGTGTCCCATTGCCTGCGCCCAGGTAGTTGCCTCGTGTTTCCCATTGTTGTTGGACATCGTTGTTGGCAATCGACGACATCGTCATTGCTGCTGCTGTTGCTGTTGTTGTTGTCGTTGGTAAGGTGATTGACGGCATAGCTGGCGTTGATGGCCCCGCCGAATGGAACTACACATGAAAGGAAACAATGATGGAACAACTACCACAATGCCAATGCTAACAAACAACGCCCACGGTATGACAGCAGTACATAACAACAGCAACAACAACAACAACAATGACCAACCACAGCGGCCACACACAAAAAGATGAAGAGCACGTAAAATGGCGCCGGATGTTGATTGACTTTTGTTGAACAATTTTTCGCATACGGAAGTTTGATAAACAGCAAATGGCGCTGGTATGCCCTTCGCTTTATGCCTTTACGCACACACACACACACACACAAAGCCACGAGCACCCTTGAATGCTTAGCAAGACATCAACGCAAGCTGAGATTTGAGGTGTCATCGTTTTGTTGTTGCCAAGTTGTTTGGCATTTGATTAGGGTTAACTAATCCGCTCTATACGCTCCCTTAAGCTTCTGCCATAATTATATATAATAAGCCATAAGCCGTCAACGCATGTTCGCTGTTGAGTTTTATGACAGTTCATCCGTGAAGCTAGACCAGACCGAGTCTGTGTGCGGCTTACTCAAACAGATGTCAAGTGTGTATATAAATATACATGTCTTGCTTTAAACTGATTTTCCTAGTAAACATTCACAGTTTGTAATTTTATTTACTTTACTATATATATATTTGTTTTTTTCTTAATTTTAACCGGAGTACTATTGTAGTTGGACTGTGCAGCACAGTTTGCTCTTAGGCACGCTTGCGGCAACGTCTACCAAACAGCTCCCAGCCCCACCAGCAGCGTCGCGGAGAGTCCATCAGCAGCTCCCCGGTCATCGTTAGCTCATCCTCGAGTATGTTCAAGCAGCTGGTTTGCTCAAAGTGCTGCAGCTGTAAGCGCTGCAATGCACGGCAATAGGCCAGCTTATCGGGCTGTCTTTGCAGTTCCAGCTCCAGCTCCGGCTCTGGCCAGTCATTGGCCTCCTCCAGCCAGACGCCAGTGATGAGCAACTGCAATCCCAGCAGCAGAAAGCATGCCTTAGTGCTCCGCATCCGCATCGTTCGACTGCGCGGCAACAACTGAGCCCCAGTTCCGATTTGACTAACTGCAACTGCAACTGGAACTGCAGCTGCAGCTGCAGTCGCTTAGCAGCTGTTTCTTGCCCATTTGCTTTACATTATGTGATTTGGCTGCATTCAATTACACACGGCTATCAGCTGCCTGAAATAAGAGCTAAGGCACCACTCATAGCATGCACTCGAAATGCGCTTTGCCAATTGTCGTAAGCTCACAAATTTCTCTGGGTTCCTGTTCCCCGTTCATCCACATCTAAAAGTCCAGCTACAATTACTCACACATTATATAGCTGAAACGCTTTGTCAGCAGAATAAACAAACAAAAGTCATCTAAAAGACTAAAAGAAATTATCTATTTCTGGGATTGGACTTAAAACCAATGCAAATGTCTAAGGAGTGTGACTAGAATATCATTAGTTCAGTTCTATTTATGAAGTTCAATTACAATTATTAGTTTATTAATTAGATCAGTTGATTCAGTGGCTCATAAACGATTCCATGGAACAAGTTCATATTGATCTGTTGTATTAGCTGATCAATAAATGAGTTCAATTGAACAAGTTCAAATTAATTTCACATGATTTACTGAACTTGCCATGGAGCATGTTCCATGAACAACTTCTTATTGATCTGTTGTATTAGCTGATCAATAAATGAGTTCAATTGGACAAGTTTAAATTTCACATGATTCACTGAACTTGCCATGGAGCCTGTTCCATGAACAACTTCTTATTGATCTGTTGTATTAGCTGATCAATAAATGAGTTCAATTGGACAACCTCACATTTGACATGATTCACTAAACTTGCTCCATGGAACAAGTTCAATTGAACAAGTTCAAATTAATTTCACATGATTTACTGAACTTGCCATGGATCATGTTCCATGAATAAGTTCTTATTGATCTGTTGTATTAGCTGTTCAACAAATGAGTTAAATTGAACAAACTCAAATTAATCTCACATGATTCACTGAACTTGCTCCATGGAACAAGTTCATATTGATCTGTTGTATTAGCTGATCAATAAATGAGTTCAATCGAACAAGTTCAAATTAATTTCACATGATATACTGAACTTGCCATGGAGCATGTTCCATGAACAACTTCTTATTGATCTGTTGTATTAGCTGATCAATAAATGAGTTCAATTGGACAAGTTTAAATTTCACATGATTCACTGAACTTGCTCCATGGAACAAGTTCATATTGATCTGTTGTATTAGCTGATCAATGAATGAGTTCAATCGAACAAGTTCAAATTAATTTCACATGATATACTGAACTTGCCATGGAGCATGTTCCATGAACAACTTCTTATTGATCTGTTGTATTAGCTGATCAATAAATGAGTTCAATTGGACAAGTTTAAATTTCACATGATTCACTGAACTTGCTCCATGGAACAAGTTCATATTGATCTGTTGTATTAGCTGTTCAATAAATGAGTTCAATTGAACAAGTTCAAATTAATTTCACATGATTCACTGAGCTTAAGCTTTACAATTGAAGATCCCATATTTAAAGATCATTTACATGACATCGAAAAATTCCGAAAATATATGTATAATATATAGGCTAATTTCATATAAATACAGTTTTAGCCATATCTCGTGTTTTTATTGATGTCAATCATCGCGTTTTACTCAGCTCGCTTTATCAATTTCATGTTTTACTTCGTCTACCTCTCGCATTATGCTAAAATATGTAAAGCGTCTCTTCGATGGCACTTTTTGCTCAATTCGCCAGAAAATTGAGAAGGAAATCAACTTGACTTTGTGAATTCGTGGAAAAGCAAGCTATTTGGTGGTCGCCTTATCACTGTGTGTTAGATAAGTTAGCTGTGTGTTAGCTAGCTAGCAAGCTAGTTGAGCAGTAGATAAGTGAAAGATAAGTTTAATTGAAAATTGGTTAGCATGCAGTTGAACATAATTGAATTAAATAAAATTAAAAAACTGTCGACACTTCTTCGCGGTGTCGTCTAGATTTGAGACATGCGTCATAGAATACAATTTTGGGACTATAAAAGCCAGCGGTGCTTGAGAAAGTTCAGTCAGTGTTCACTTAAACATTTCAGTATTAAGTATAACGACCTTTAGCTCAGTCTTTGAATAGGATGTCTGGTGAGTGAATCGAAGTGGAGCGAATTGTCGATCCTCATTTCAAATTCTATATTGAATTGAATTGAAATTCGTGGCAGGCATTTATCTATTGGCATGTATCCTGTGCCTGGCCGTTGGCAGCAGCCTCGGCGTGATCCTGGAGGGCAACTACAATGTGACCTCGGTGTGCACACTGGTCAAGGCGGGCACACAGCTGGGCAGCATTGAGTCGTGCGACTATTATTATGTGTGCACCCCGAACGGACCCGTGCAGACCTATTGCCAGGCGGGCTACGCGTATGACTATAAGGCGCAAACCTGTAGCCCATCGTCTCAGGTGCAGTGCTACTACGGCGTGCAAGAGCCCTGCTCTGGCATCACCGAGGGCTGGGTACCAGTTGAAAACACTTGCAATCAATGGATCTACTGCAAAAATGGTGTAGCCGGCGGACGCGGCTCTTGCGGTGAACTGACCTTCAGTGCGCAGTTGCAGCGATGCACTGAGGACAAGTGTGATATCTTAGCCCAAGGTGACGGAGTGACTCTTAACAACATCTGCCAGGTGGTGCCACCTAATATTTACTTTGGCGACCCCTACAATTGCACCAAGTACCAGTATTGCTACCCAGATGGCACTTACGCATCCGGTACCTGCACCACGAGTGTAAGTTGAAAATTAATATCAAGTACAATAGGTCTAAGATATATACGCATGAACTTATATACATATAAATCTATCTGATCAGATGTATATAATGCAAGTTTACACTTTTGAGAAGATAACGTCCCAAACTTAATCCAAAGATTCTTCGATTTCCTTTAAGACACCTAAGCTCGCTTGCCATAATCAGAAAAATAAATATTTTGTTTTTTTGTGTTGCAGGCTTTCATTGTATCATCTCAACGTTGCGGGTATGATACAAACGGCGCCTGCGATCGAATTCAACAAGGAGGAGTGTCCGAATCATGCGACACTGTCGGTAAAGCCAGGAGCGATCCGAATGTGTGCGGCAGCTATCAGGTTTGCAATGGAAAAACCTTTGAGCTGAAGAACTGTCCCAGTGGCCAGTACTTTGATGTTAAGACAAGCACCTGCTTGCCTCGTCAGTCGGCAGTAACAGATCCGAGCTGCAATCGTTGCCAGTACGCGACCACACAGTTTGTGAATGCTATCAGCAATGATAATTGCAATACTTACTACCACTGCAACAATGGCGTCAATGGCAACGTTACAAGTTGCCCAGCAGATTACTTCTTCAACGAACTTCAGCAGGGCTGTGTCCCATATGCTGGTCTGCAAAACTATGGATCCGTCTATCCTGCTTGCGCTGGCGCCACAGCTCCAGCGACAACCGCTGCACCGTCAACAACCGATCCAAATGCCACAACCGATCCCAATGCCACAACCGATCCCAATGCCACAACCGATCCCAATGCCACAACCGATCCCAATGCCACAACCGATCCAAATGCCACAACCGATCCAAATGCCACAACCGATCCCAATGCCACAACCGATCCAAATGCGACAACTGCAACAACAATCGAAGAATAGCTAAAAATTGTGACAAACGCTGAGACAACGCTCTGTATGGATATCTTTCAAATCTTTAGCACTAACCATAAATAACTATCAAATTATTTCAATAAAGCAAGCAATACAAAATAATCAATGCAATGATTTTTTCTATTTCCATAACTACGCACCTTACTCAGCGAAAATTGTTTTTTTTTTTTTTTTTTTTTTTTCTTCTTTGGCATTAGCATTGCGTTTGGAGCTCTCTGTTACAAATTTCTTTGTAAATATTTATATACATGCGTATATATATTTTATGTGATTTGTCTTTTTTAAGTTTACCATTATTTATTAATATTAATTGATGCGAATTTTTCCAACTATAATTTTTTACTTAAATATGTTAAATATATTGCAGTCACAAAGGAAAAATAATAATAATAAGAATATCAAAATTCGGCTGGTGGAATGTTTGATATAAATACTATAAAAAACAATCTGAGAGTGTGAATTTTTTTTATTGCACAAGCCATTTACTAACTTAACGGGATTTCGGTATAGTTTTTACCATATACCCAGTGAAAAACGTAGCTTGATTTCTATGGGTATATAGAAACATTTCGACTCTCAATGGTATGCATTTATACACATAGGTAAATGCTAAAGACTAATTATTTTATTTATTTTTTTTATTTTTTTTATTTGTATATGACACTATATAGAAATCACATATCATAGGAAATTCCAAATTTAATTTAATTTTCCGTTCAATATCGATTAGGGCAGTTTTTACGGGGTATCGATTAGTCAGGCAGTCCTAAATGAAATCTTGGCTTTTACCCCGCTTTTTACACCAAATTGATTTTGCGTTTTTCACTGCAACCAAATGCTTTTCCCTCGCGACGCTGCCACAGTCAGATTGCTTGTTAGGTATTTTTTCTCGCCTCGACATTTTCATTATCGCTTCGAGTTTTTTTCCGATCTGGCTGGCCTCAACTGCTTGAAATTGCATTCACCATGCCCACAAAATTGAAAGAGCGCCAATTCAAAGCTTTCGACCTGCTGATGCATCCAATCGACCGTAAATTACAACGCCATATTATTTAATAACGCGCTGCAGGTAACGATTCGACCTATCCATGCACCATGTAGCTGGCCAAGGACTCTTTTTTTTATTTTGTGACAGGCCAGACAATAAATAAACGCGCCGGGAAATTGCCTGAAATACAGCTGAAAATGGTCCTCTTAAATTATACGAGTTGCCGTCACTTAAATGAAAATGGCCAACCACAAAAAACTGAAATAAGCATATTCAATTATTTTAGCTTCTTATCGAGAGTATAGTGATGCTGTGAAACACATTGAGTTAATAACAGTTATTTGACAATGATTTTAGACTGACGAAACAACTATCAAAGCCTGAAATCATAATATACTCTTTAATTTTGAAACACTTCCTGAAAGAAGAGCAAAAATGTTGCAAAAGAAAAGTACAAATGTTGTTACTTGATTCTGTAAGTAAGTAAGTAAGTAAATTAAAAGACAGTTCGTGAATTCAATTAATAAATTATTTCATTATTAAGCTTATCCTTGAATTTCAGATAAATTTGAAAGCCTTGAAAAAATTCAAGTGAAACGAAAGAGCTTTCATCTGAAAAGAGCTTAGGGGAACCTTTACAATTATTAAATGTAAAGAAGAGATTCTTGTCGAGGACACTTAAGCTTATTTGTAATTATCGTGCTACGGTAATGTCGCCTGATCTGTGATCTCATTGACTCCATTAATTGAGTCCGAAGTTCCATGCTACTCCAGTCACCTTTGCTATTAGCACTTACAGCAATATGCCATTATGTGCTTTGTTTCGAAACGAAATCCCCGAAATGTTAATTCAGTTAAAAATTACCGCCGTTCGGTCGAAATGCCAGGCAGCTAGCCGTCGACTCAAATCTCAGCATGAAATTCATTTCGGATTAAATTAAGGATTAAGGTAACTTTTTCAAAGGCAACTCAACCGAGCTTCGCCAACGACTGTGTTGGAGAATTTTGCTTCTTGTTGCTCCACTCCATCTCTGCTGCGAACGCTGTGGGACAGCCCTTGTGGGAATGCTCTTAAGCATTTAAGCAAATTCAAAAACTTGTTAAGCTCCATAATGAAGCAATATTCAGCGCATTGCAGAGCATTTAGTTTCAGTATTTTATTGGCTTTCGTCGACCGCTAGCATTGATGGCAACTCATTTTGATCTTCGGCACTTGCTTAGCGTTTTTCTCTGTGTATTCGCTTTTCTTTTCTCTGAATTTTGCCATTAATTAGCCTCGGCAGCGCATTAAACGTATCCTGTCCTAATGACGGGCCTACTAAATGATAATGAGCTCAACCATGTGCAGCCTGCCTTTCGCTCGTTTCTATCAGCTAAATGCGGCTCTTTATATTTCAACAACTCCATTATAGCAACAAATGTGTATGCAGCACCTGCTCACCTCCCACCTGGCAGCAAACACCTTTTTGCCACCCCCCTTTTTTGTCATTGGGCAAAACAGGTCTTCCTGCTCTCCACAGGAATTAAAAAGCCCCTAACAGAAAAATTCAATTACATAATTTAAGCCTTTTGTCGCACTTCTATTTTTCTTTTTTTTTTTTTTTTTTTTGGGCTTTGTTGTGTTTGATTTAATTTTCTGTTTTGTTTTTATAGACAAAAATATTTTTTTTATATATATACTTTAAAGCCGACAGCTACAGTTCGCAGGATTCGCAACAATGAAAGAGAAAGAAAAAGGGTAAATATATTTCGTGAGTCTGCAAAAGACATTTTAATTTTGTCACGATTTTATTTTACAAAAAGTACAGGGTATATACATATATATATTCTTGATGACATTGAAATAGTCAAATCGAGTGGGTCGTATTTCTGGCATTTAACTTTTCCTTTTTTTTATTCAAGTAAATGACTGACAATAAAAATGCTGAAAATTTAGCAATTTGATTGAAGCATTCTCTAAAATTTGAAAAATTAACAATAATAAATATATTTTTATAATACATATACTATTTGAAGTGTATTTGAGCTTCATCGTGCTGGCTTAGTTGTCTGCACTTCAATTCATTCTTACTTTTTGGCTTCTAAAAAGTTTGTAGCGCAACGTGGCGTATGAGTAATGCCATATTCAAGTTGAAAGCTGAAGAGTTGCATACGACTAACTATAGCAATTATGCCAGCTATCGCAACTCATGGCGTGGCTAAATGAAGCGACTTCTAATGAGTTGTAAACTATCTAAAGGCAAACTATGCATACATATAACTATCATATATACATATGTATATATGTGTATAGAAGATTATGCATATGTCGAATGCTTTATGTATGCTCATAAATCTTCATTCGCAACTACGTGCGCCATCATCAGCATCAGCCTCATCATCTTATGTCTCATGGTCTGCATTTCTTGGCATCTCTTTTGGGTCTTTTGGGTGTGAGCTTTGGACTGGGTGGGGTCTGGGTCTTTCATCTCTTGGCTACATTTGTTTCTGCTGTTCGCCTTTGTTGCCGGCTTTGTGTCGCTTTATGCGTCATTTATCATGCGAATCTCTTTACTTGTCATATTTCCCTGGGTACGCTGCTGCACCCATGATTTTTCACTTTTCAATGTTAGCGCGTGACAAACTCTCCGACAGTGAATGCATCAATGCCTGACAAAGAGTTGACAAAGACCGCCTCAGATTGTGTGAACAGCAACCGCATCAGTCACACTATACTCAGATTCTGCTTTTATCTGCATCTCTTCTTGCTCACTCTCTCTCTCTCTCTCTCTCTCTCTCGCTCTGTCACTCTCTACTGCAAATGCCTAAGCAGGTGACATTAGCTCACTCGCTCTTTGCCCATAATCTCAATTGATTCCTTGCGATTGGGCTTCGAGCCTTCCATTTCCTGCGGAAATTATGCGAATTCGACATTTGCTTTTGCTTTCCCTTTAAATGTTCAAAGCTAAACGTAAATAAATATGAGACATGAAACAAAAAGATAATGGCAATGCCAATAGTCGACACTTTGCAACATTATTTGCAAATGGGTAAAAGTTTCAATTTTGCTGATTTCATAAGCAGCCGCTGTTGAATATTTTATAAGGATAATTGGCTTCCATTTATCCTTCTCTCTTCCCCCCTCGCTCTGAGCTTGTTTATCAAATTGTGCACATTGTTATCCTTCGCATGTCCCATTTTCCATAGCTGATTTTGATGGAAATAATTAAGCTTAGAACTTCTGGAAAGCACATTTAATCACTTTTGTAATGATGGCATTGCTTCTGCTAATGTCGCCCTCTGGCGGCCACATAACGCATTATGCACATCTTTAAGCATAACTCAGCATGGAAATTTGTATGCCAATAACACTTCAGAAAATTCCTGTAGAAAATCAAGGTAAATGCTGTGCTATACTTCTAAGAAATAATTTAACCAGAATGCGACTTTAAAAAAAAAATTGTTTTTTGAATAAAATAAAAATTTATATAGAGTGTTAAAAGAAAAAACAAAACGAGTAAGAACGTTGCAGTCGGGCGTTACCGACTGCGAAATACTCATTCACATCCCATCAACAATTTAGCAGTTTGGCTCTAATACTCTAATACACTCAACTATCCAATTTTGAAGCTTCTAGCTATTATACTTTAGGAGATATAAGCTTTTGCGGTTTGCCACGCCCCCTGTGGGCGAACGTATATCCGTCGAAGCTTTTTGGTCTTGGGTGGTCAGCCCAAATTGCACATCCTTTAAATTTTACTAGTTGTTTTTAATCATTATTGGAAAAATTTTGATATAATTATTATTTCTAACAAAAATATTATTATATACTATGAATTAGCAAATATGAGCATAAAACCAATTAATTATACCTTGAACTAAATTTTCTAATATTAAAAAATATTCATAAATTAAATATTTATTTTTTTAAACGTCTCTTGCCGCAGAATAACAAGCCACAAAATGCAATTTAAAACGCTTTAACTTTAACTCTGTTTTAGTAAAATAAAAAATGATTAAATAACAACAGCTCAGAATAAATATGTGTGCATTTGCATTTGTGTATGTGTGTGTAAACACTCTGTTGTATGATGCTCATTCTCCTTGAATGTATTGTAGCTCTTTGTTTATAACT